AGGGCGCATTCATCGGAATTAGTTATTCAACTTTTAACTGCTGCACTTGTCAAACACAAAATGTGAAATTCGATTTATACTTGGCTTTCAATTTGCGGCCTGGGTGGGCTGCTGCCAAGCGGCGTTTAACGAGTGCGTTTTGTTGCTGCGATCCGTTACCAAAAGGCCAACTGTCAAAGCATTGCGAAATCTTCAAGCCAACTGTCATAAATGTCGACATCATTAAAATGTCATAAAGTTGCGCCAGGCCGGCCCCGCTAAGCCACCCGCACAGACTTGCCCACAACATCATCAACAACAACTGCTGTTGCTGCTGCAGTAAGTAGATGGAGACACTTCTCAAAAATGTGCAAAAATTTCGCGCACTTCCGTTACATTTCGCATCCTTTTTGGCTGTTTATTTTTTGGCGGCGCTTCCTTTAGACAAACCGCTACGGATGCAGCGGAACGAAAAACTGAGCCACCGAACCCAGCCCAAACGGGCGGGTGGCTGAATGAATCTGAGTCTGCACTTGCTGTAAAATGACAAAGCAAGTTGCAGAAACTATTTCCCTTAAAGATAGAGCAATAGAGAGAGACAGAGAGAGAGAGAGAGAGAGCGAGCGAGCGAGCGAGCGAGCGAGAGAGAGAGAGATAGATTGGTAGAGCCGAGCTGCAGTTCATGAAAATTTCATTTTATGAAAATACTCGTACTTGTATTTTTATAGCACTTACAGCCAACAGTAGATGAGTCAGCTGCAGCAGCTGCAGCAGCAGTAGACAGTGCACTCAGTTCTGATGGCATTTAAAAGTTTCGAGTCTTTATGCCATAACAAGTCTATTAAAGTTCCTAATGGGCGTGCCAAATGAAGCGTTTACCGCGGCCGGCATTAATCATACGCACCGTGGTGCAACATATTTGCCGCGCAATTCGTAAGATCTTGAAAATAAATGAATCTTAACTAAATCCCTAAACGTAACCATAATCGTTTGTTCAACTTGGCTCGCAGTCAATAATCGCAGCTTAAGTCGAAGCCATTAAAATATATATATATATCGAGGGGCGCATTTTATTTTGAAAGCTAATTAAGTGCGTCCATTATACGCGACGAGCGAAGAAGCGGTTGGCGGGGCCCAAGTACGATTAATGAGGCGCAACACGCAGAGCAGAGTGAGAGAGAGACGGAGGGCGTGGCAGCCAGGTCGTGGCAAGAACATTGAATTAAAGTTCAATTGGCCAAAGCAGGGCCAAAGGTCGTTAATAAAGCAACTAATAGCCAGGCCCAGAACTCAACAGCTGAATTTCATATTGCAAATGCCGAAGTTTATTATACGTATCTGGTCTTCAATTTACTTAGTTCCACGCTTATTCGATTGGGCACCTCCTCTTCCTCATCGTATTCGGAAGACTCCGACTCATACAGATCGTCGACAAGTACGCCGCTCGTATAATGTATAATCATGAATAACATGCCAATTATTTGAAATGTAAATAGCGCAATATTATCGCGTGCGATTTCCATTTCAATATTTTGTAAATAATCGTGGAACATATTCTGACAGCCCGTGCAGAAGGGCAGCTCACAGCAGGCGGCCTTCGACCAGGTCCGATTGTCGACAAGATAATCGATCTGGCCATGCATGCCGCAACAATCGAATTGCGCCTCCATTGGCTCAATCAGATCCCTATTCCACAGATCGTACAGCATCATATTCGTAAAATATTGAAAATCGCTTCCATACCGATATCGCGAGATCGCAATAGTGAGCATAAAGAGCAGATTCAGAAAGCTCATAATTAAGTAGCCGGCAAACTTAAATACTGTCGGGCGCTTGGACATGCGTATGCCCAGGATGGCGGTCAGCAAATATACAGCCAGAGAGACTCCGCGTATCAGGGAGACGCGCTGTGATAGACCCATCAGGCATATGGACATGTTCACGTGCTTCAGCTGGCGCCACAGTACATGATTGTACAGATCGATCAGAAAGATGCCGCCCACCGCCAGCAATAAAATGTTGATCTCAATGACAAGGCCCGGCGATACGGAGCAGCCCCAGCCCAGCAGATTTGCCATGCCATCCGCTTTATTATAAATGATATATTATATTCTATTATGTGGCTGGGCTCTGGCTGACTGAAATGTGATGCAGTGTTTATTTACTTTGATGTCGAAAACGAGTTGCTTTTTGTGAAGTTGACCCCAAAGCCAACTGTTGATTTGAGCTTCCAAAGCGGCTGGCAAATATCAACATTTCGCTGTGTCTGTCTCTCCTTTGGGCCTCGCTTCAGACTTGTTCCTGAGGTTTCAAGTGCAAATGAGTTTGTTTTTTGGGGCAATAAAATGCTCCACCTGTTGCGCCCCGTTCCGTCCTGTCCGCCTGTCTGCCCTGTCAAGGCTGAAATAAAAAGAGAAACCAGAAGCAGTCACAGCTAGAATAACAGCCAACTGAAATTAAATATTTGCGCATCAGCCAACTTGATGTTGATTGCTCATGAACCGCACCTACACCCCTCACCACTCCCAGCTACACACGCCCCTCCCTGACACCAAGCAGCATAACACAAGTCGAGCAGTTCGCAATGCATTTGCCAGTATGATACCCTGTATTCGTTTGCAAGAGGCGTGCCTTGTTGACATACTTAACACGCGCATTTTACGCAATTATTTTCTGGCTTTCTGCACTCAAATTCAAGTTCTTGTTCTGTAAATAATTCAATTAAAGCCGCAGCTTAAACTGGTAGCAAATACTTGTTAATTTTTTTTTGTATTTTGTTTAATTTTGCTGTCGCTCAATTGTCGCATGTCAAAATCCACTAAGGGGCATCTCTTTAAAGATGCTCTGGTAAAATTGTCAACAGATGCTGATTATTATTTTTGTTATTACAGTTTTTGACGTATATTATTATTATAGTTTTATAAAATTATTTTTAAAATTTCCATTATTTCTTTATTATCATAATGTTATTTTTATGATTATAATTACTATTAATATAAATGGTATGGTTCTTATTATTATTATTAATGTTCTAATTATTTCAGATTCTATTATTTTTAATAATTTTTAAATTTTATTATTGTGTTCTACTTATTCTCTATTATTATTATTATTTTGATATACTTATATACTTATAGTTTTAATTATGATTTTTGCGATTTTGAAGATTTTAAAGATTTTTCAACTCTTAACTTCTGCAACTTCACCGTAAAATCATTTGCTAGACTCTTTAAATGGCTCAGCAAAAATAAACCCCAATTCATGCCAGTGACAGGTGTAGTCCTCGATTGGGTCTACAGGTCTTCGATGGCAAATGAAGCCCAAAAACGTATTGTTATTGGGCTTGGCAACGGACACAGCTGCATTTTGTACATTTAATTAAGAAACTGTGGCATATTCTGACCAAGTACCGAAAAGGTGTTAGACCCGAACGGCAAACTTTTTAATTAAGCACTTTAAATTCGAGACCTAAAATTAAAGTTGCCAACAAGATGTTAGAATAATACGTTAAAATGGCCATACACGCATACGCTCCACTATCTGATTCCGACTAGTCAGTCGCCTGCCAGTCGTTGGCTAATTTAAAACATTTCAAACTGAAAGCAACACAAAAAGGGGCGCACCAACACTTCCGCTTGCCAAAATGTCAGCAGAGAAAACAATGAACGTCGCTGCGGAAGGTGCGGAAGCAGCGGAAGGAGCGAAAAGTCACCGAGGAAAGAGAATTATGCCATTCAGATATCAACCTTATAGCGGGGACCATTGCATTTAGGGAATTGTTGCATTTAAAGCATTTGGGTGCATAAAAAATGCGCCTTTAAGGGCCTTGTAGCGATGGTTTTGATTTGTGTCTGATTTCGTTTTAAAGAGCCCTGAGCCCTAAAAATTGGTAAAAAGGGGTATAATGTCTTTGTACCCTGAACTCATTGAGAGGGGATTTAGTGTATTTATGCAATTATAAGATCCCATAAAGTATATATATTCCTGATCGGCATCAATGGCTGAGTCGATTTAGCCAGGTTCGCCTGCCTGTCCGTCCGCCTAAAGAAGCTAGAGACTTGAACGTATGTCCGGCTAGTTCCCGCACAGTAAAAGTTTCTTTCCAATAATCGATAGCTTGCCCCGCTTCCAAGCAATCGATAAAAATCGATATGGAAAATGTGTTTTTTGAGCAAGTCCTTTAGATATTGAGGGCTAGACTCACCAAATTTGACATGTTGCTTCTAGAAGATTATATATTGATCAAGTATCTTTAGTATTAGACGGCTTAGGGTATCTCCGAGTCCTTACTAGATCCTTACTAGAGCCCTCTTTCTTTTTCATTATTTATTATGTATTTAAATACTGTAATTAATACTGCTATCTTTATCTACATATATATACATATCTACATATATGTTTTATAGCAATTCATTAAAAATACTGCACATAACTATATCAGCTTTAATTAATTGAATTTAAATGCAATTAATCTGAAATGTGTGCCCCGAAGCAATGCGTTAATTAATCTAAAGATGCGTTGTTTAAATATTTAAAACAAATAAAAAGCATACTTTTATTACGTGCATGTAATGCCAGTGGCATATTAACCAAAACTTTTTTGTATTCATACTCTTTCCATAAAGAGTATGCGTTAGCTAAAAAAAGTTGTTAAATTGGGAATTATTATTAAAGCACCACACAATTCAAAAGCTTGTCTTATAATATACTTTTTTGAGTGTTTAAGCAGGAGTTCAAGGACAGGTAGGTGGTTCAAACCTTAAATCGAAACATTGCTTTATGGAGTGATACGTAATAAAATTGAATAAAGTGCTTCCGCTTCCGTAAAGTGTTTATTAAGTCTAATAAAATAAACTAAAAGCATTAGTTTCATTTTTTCAATAGTAACTAAAGAAATTTAATTATATTAATTAAAAGCTAGATGGGTCATGGTTTATAACGTTTATAATTTCATCGAATTTTTTTAAATTTAATTATTTTTTTTAATATAGTGAACAATTTTTCAAAAGTTACAATTTAATATATATACCAGCCTGGAGTGTCATGATCCGCTTTTAAGTTTGTTTTTATTTAATTTTTTTCTCATAATTATGCAAGCATATTATCCAATAGTTAATGGCGCTGGGTGAGGGCATGTGAATTGAGTTGACAATTAAGCATATTCATTTTTTTCCCTTTGAATGTAAATATGTATTTTTATATATTGCTATTTTTTGGTTGCATTTCAATGTGTATTGCTTTTAATGCAATTAAATGGATGTCATTGTTTAAATTTGAACTTTGTCGCGTTTGACGTTGCTTAAAACATGTTTTAACGCTTCTTTTATTTGTTTTTGTTGTTGTTTCTACTTGCTGTTGTATTTAACTGTTATTTAATTACAATATTGCAAAGAAAAATTGCATTTTGTGGGCCGCAGTCAGCTTGGCCCAGGCCCAGCGGCCCGACACTCATCAATTATTTATAGGATATTGTGAGCTTTAACACTTTGCAAAGAGTTACGTGACGCGCAGCAGGTTGGGCATAGCCAAAGCTGCCAGCCAGCTACTAAGGTTGGCAGCGCAGCGACAGTTCCTGCAGCTGATGCCAAGATATGCGCTAATTGATTTAAAAGTGTTGGCCATGAATTTTTCACGGCCCGGCCATTGATGAGTTTATAATCATAGGATTCGCGCGGCTAGCGAATGCCATATAAATAGCCAGTCTAGAGCTGCCAGGCAGACGACAGTTAGCTATAGTTGCTCCAACATGCTGCTGCAACGCATCTTTCCCAGCATGTACATGGCGCCGGACTCTGCGCCGGCTGAATCGCGCAAGGCAACGCTCTATTTACTGCGCTGCATTTTTCTAATGGGCATACGGACGCCGCCTCGAAGATTCTTTGCCATCTATTGCCTGTGGTCGTTTGCGCTGAATCTAAGCTCCACATTTTACCAGCCCATTGGCTTTCTAACCGGCTACATCAGTCATCTGTCTGAGTTCTCGCCGGGTGAGTTTCTCACCTCGTTGCAGGTGGCGTTTAATGCCTGGTCCTGCTCGGCCAAGGTGCTTATTGTCTGGTCGCTGGTCAAGCGTTTCGATCAGGCCAACGCCATTCTCGATGAGCTGGACAAACGGTTGCTGGTGTCCAGCGAACGTGCCCGATCACATTGTGCTACTGCCCGCAGCAATCGCATCTTCTTTGTGTACATGACCGTCTATGTGGTGTATGCGACAAGCACAGCTGTGGTCGCTGCCCTCATGGGTGTGCCATCCTTTCAAAACTATTATCCTTGGCTGGATTGGCGCGCCAGCCGTTGGCAGTTCTGGCTGCAGTCCGGTCTGGAATACTTTGCCATGTTGGGCGCCTGCTTTCAGGATGTCTGTGTGGATTGTTATCCCGTCAATTATATGCTGCCACTGCGCGCTCACATGGCCATCTTCAGGGAACGGCTTCGTCGGCTGGGCAAGGACCCAGAGGAGAAGCCAGAGCAGCGCTACAAAAAACTCATCGATTGCATTAAGCATCACCAGGTGATCCTGAGGTGGGCCCAAGTTCTTTAATTTTCTTTTGGGACATTTTGTCACTCATGTGCTTCTTTGCACACTTTGCAGCTATTGTGACGTGTTGCGTCCCCTGGTTGGCGGCACCATTTTTGTCCAGTTTTTGGTTGTGGGCATGGTGCTGGGCTTTACGATTATCAATATTGTGATGTTCGCCAATTTCGGCTCACGCATCGCGGCTTTTTCCTTTATGTGCTGTATTATGCTGGAGACAACGCCCTTCTGCATACTCTGTAACTATCTAACGGATGACTGCTACCAGCTGGCGGATGCTCTATTCGAATCCAATTGGATCGAACAGGATAGGTTTTATAAGAAAATAGTTCTGCAGTTTTTGCAGACTCTACAGAAGCCCATTGTTTTCATGGCCGGCAACATATTCAGCATTTCTGTGGCCACAAATCTGACCGTAAGTAAACTTTAAAAAAAGTAGCCTGATTTGAATGTTTTACCTGTTAAGTTCTTCATAGGCCATGAAATTCTCCTTCTCTGTTTTTACGCTGGTTAAACAAATGAATATAGCTGAGAAATTGTCAAAATCAACGAAATTTGAACATGAAGCAGCGCCAATATAAAAATGATTGCTAAATGGATCCATTAAGATATCTGATCAAGAATCTTGACAGCTTGCTTTATTTTTGTAATGTAGTATTTCCATAAATGTGGGCGTTAATCAAAACTACTAAGTAATAGTAGTTAAAAGTGGACGTTTATCAACACTACCAAGAAATTATACCACTTAACCAACACTTCTATGTAGTAATAGCAACATTCATTTATTTCAACACAGAGTTTTAAAGAAATGGGTTAACCAACACTGCTACACACTTCACAATATCAAAGCTGCTTTGAGCTATGTATTTGTATTTGTCTACACATTTATCCGGCTATATGTCCTTATTTTAACTATTGAATACTCTGATAATTGTGTGATTTTTAATAATGTATTTACCAAAACTGCTACTAATTAATCAACACTACTTAGTGAATACAAAATAACTAACACTAGAGTAAATTGTTCGTATAACATTTGTTAAAGCTGCGTATAACAGTTATATAAATTAATATTTCACCTGTCTGCAGACGAAAAGTTATTCAGTTTTAAATTTATCTGCAATATTCATTTGCTTCGTGATGGTTATGACCGAAAAGGCAAATTTAGCAACCTATTAAAAAAAAAATTATACAAATAAATGAAAATATGCCATTGTCATTGACATCACTTACGCTGATGTTGCTGCTCATTGATATCGGCAAGATGCCGCCGGCTATGAAAACGATGGGCTGCTGCACATTGTGTAGAAAATACAATAGGGTCGACTGGTATCTTGAACCGGAATCTATCCAATTACTCTGAAATAAGGCGTGCGCCAGGGCTTCGCAGTCGTCAATAATCAGATTGCAGAGGTAGCAGAAGGGGAACGTCTGCAGCAACGTGGTGATGACAAAAATGAACGAGGCAATGGCCGTTGGTAGAGAGTCCGAGAAGAAGAACACATTAATCAGGGTGAGCCCAAGAACGAGGCCAATCAGCAGGAACTGAGTGAAAATCGTGCCCGAGATCACAGGACGTATGAGGGCGCAGTAACTTCCGAAGGGTGGAAGGTGAATAAAATAAAGAGAGGTTTGCTAGCTCAGCTTCTTACTCGAGTATCATCTTGTGATCTATGACGCACTTGACCAAGGCCTCATAGTGCTCATCCTCGGTCATGGTGTTGTCGGTGCGCAGCTTGCGTATGCGCTCCCTGAGTATGTCCAGGTGAGTGCGCAGGAGGAGCGCGTATATGATTGGATAGGCATCTGACAGCTGATCTTGCAGCACGGCGCCCGACATGATAACATACTCGAGAGTCGAGACAATCCACAGATTGAGGGTATTCTTGTGCCAGTCTATGAGGGGATTGTATATCTGCCAGGGCGGACGACCACTCAGCACGGCGGTCAGATACGTGGAACCCGCATAGACACAGTAGACAAATGTGTAGATGGCAAATACTAGATTGGCACGCGACACAACCAGATGGATTTTCTCGCGCTCCTCCAGTTTAGTGCAGCGCGAATCCAGCTTGTCCAGCAAATCCTTGGCCTTGATCAGACGTGATAGCTTTGTGTAGGTGACGGCCACCTTCACCGAGGAGCCATACGCATTGATGCACACCTGCAGCGAGGTGAGAAACTGGCCCGGCGTGAACAGCTTGATCATTGTCATATAGCTGCCCAGAAAGCCCAGCGGCAAATAGATGGTGGACCACAGGAATGTATTCAGCGTCCAGAAGAAATACAAATAGCGCTGCGGCCCCGCCTTGGGCGGTCGCCAGCCAATGAACTTCATCGCGCGATACAAGTAGATGCAGCCATCCCGTGAGCGCACCTGTTCCGTAAGCGGCGCCGGTTTGATCAGCTTGAAGAGCATCCTGTGTTGACAGCGATATTGTGTTTCTGGCGAATGTGCTGGGCAGCCGGGGCCGACGGTTTATATAGCACCAGATGGGCCGATGGGCTGTCGCCATTTTGGGCAAGTTTTCAATTCAGTGGCAAAGTTTGTCAACAAGTTTTCAAGCAGCTCCGCGCTTTTGTTTTTAATTATTCACTTGCGAATTTATCGCTCTGCTCCGTTATGTTTAATTAACAGAGTGAGCGTTGAGTACAGCGCCTCGCAATTTTCGCATATTTCCACATGTTGACTTTCCGGCCTGCATTAATGATGCGGCCCCCCGCACACAAAGTCAACCAAGGAAAGTGCACATACGCAGCGTGTGCCGTCGTTTTGTTTTTTGTTTTTATTTTACTTGTTTTTTTTTTTTTTTTGGATATGCATCTAAATTGCGGCTAATAAGTTTTCAATTTAAGCTGTCGCTTGGCAGGTGCGCCGCGCACCTTAAGTTATTTGCATGTGCGGCCCATAAACTTGTGTTCTTTTTATACTCTATTTGGGAAGGAGCAGTAGGGTGTATGGGTTGCGGGTGATATGATTGTTCGTTTTATCGGGCTGTCTGCATGCAAGAGCTAAGCTAAAAAAATGGACTCAGAATTTGTTATTTAAAGTTGTCGAGTTTATTTTCTGGGCAATTTTGGCAGTTCTTGCTGGCAGGTCTTTCTCTCGAGTGATCACTGTAAGCGCTTGCTGATGAATTTAAGCTTAAACGAGCGCTGCCCAAACTGGGCATAGAGTATGTGAAAGTCTTGACGTTCTTGGTATGTGTTTTTCGCACCGCCTTCTTTGTTAGCGTTAGCAGTCGATCTAATATGCACAAGTTGGCCTGTGCTAGGGGGAATTGCTTGTCGACAACAACAACAACAAAACCAAGAATGTTTTTTTGTTCTTAAATGTCCGCTAATCGCAGCCAAGTTCAAGGCGCAGGGGTCGGCCTTCAAGTTCAATTGCAATTATTAAATTTGATGCCAAATAAGACAAGATATTTTGCATAATCAGCTTTAAAGCCACTCCGAGTGGCATTTGTTTTGCGCGTGTGTGTGTGTGTGTGTGTGTGTGTGCATCTTTGTATATCTGCTGCCTGACATTACAGGGGAGCTTTAATGAAAAATATGTTCGCTGAGTGTTATTAATATTCCTCAGAATGTCTGGCGTTTGACACATGTTTTGTTGTCGGTGTCGCTGTCGCTTTTGTTGTGCGTCTCCTACTGTCTGCTACAGCAACTGCTACTGCTACTGCTATTGCTCCTTTTTCTGCTGCTGCTGATGCTGTGTCTGTGCTCTGCACAAGTTGACATTTTTTTTCATTACTTCAACGTTTCAATAGAAGCAACAGAAGCCAGCTGCCTGGCTACAAGTAAACGCATGTGTGCTCTTTGTGTGTGTGTGTGTGTGTGTGTGTGTGTGTGTGTGTGTGTGTGTGTGTGTGTGTGCGTGCTGTGTTGTGTACAAAAGCAAGTGTGTTATGTCCAAAGGCAGCGTGTGAAGTAAGGGCAAGGATAATCTTTTGTTTGCCATTGTACAGCTCACACTTGGATACTTTTAGCTGCAGGTAAGCAGCAGCTGGCACCTGTTTTGGGCCACAACATATTTGTTTATTTGCCCTACCCAGAGGTGTGCTTCGCACTCATATGTTGGCTGACAGCGTGGCTTACGTGCCGACATCTTCCAGAATTTATGCAACATAATAAAGCCTGCTGGTCAGCCAATATGCCCGACCAGGAATTCCATTCAGAATCGTATCAATTAAGCCATTTAATGTAGCGCACACGCCACGGCGCGTTTGGGGGGCATAGCTTACAGGGAAAAGCGAGCCTCAAGCTATGCTCGAAACACTTTAAAGATGTCGCTGGTTCGCTCAACTAATTGCAGTCGGCGCGTGTCAGTTGTGCCTTTTATACTGGCTGCCAGGATTCGTGGTATGTGCATTTAATAACATCAGCGAGTCATTTATTATCGCTTGACGTATTTATTTTAATTAACGGAAATTAATGCCACAGTGCGCAGCTGTGTGAACATGTTTGCAGTTGCTTACACACACACACACACACACACATGCGCACTTTCCCCCTTTCCCCACACTCAGATGGCTGCTGGTCCTGGAAACTTCTGACGACACGAATACTGTCACACAGAGAGTATATGTCGTTCAATGTATCTGTTGAGTTCCCAGCCGCACTCACACACACTCGCAGGCACACACTCAGAAGGTAGTGTCAATCTGTTTTTGATATGCTGCAAATTAATGGAGTTAACAACGTGGTCTGCCAGCCTTCGACTGGGCTATAAGGCACATGCATATATCTACATACAACTTGATTATATATTTGTTTAATTCATTTGACTGCACATTTTGTTTATCGTTAGCAAATAGCTTACTTTAGTCAAGTATTTTATCTTATTATATTTTAATATCTATCTATTATATTTTAATATGTAATTTAGTTCGAGCGAAACTTTTCTGCAGCCGTTGCTTCATAAATTTTCAATTTATAAAACTATATATATACATAACATGAGCTTGTAAGCAACCCAAAAGTTGCATTTATTTTTAATTATCAAAATGAAAATGCCAATTTTTTTTAAAATACCCAAAATTTTAACTACTACTATCAGTTGTTTGCGAACATGTAACTAGTTAGCTGCACTTTCATAAATCGTGTTTACCATACGAGCGCGCGAATAGCTAATGGACATATTTTTTATTTATATCCTGCATTGAATACAATTGGGTATATGTACAAATATTGTCAGTAGAAGAAGTAAGTAAGTCTACAATATGGGGAGTTCCGCTTTACATATTTCTTAATAATTATTCATTTACTTTCTCTCTGAATCTCTCATCTAAACTGACTTTCTATGCGATATTCATAAACCGCCTTTCTATGCGATTTTCATGGTTCTAAGAAAGTCTAGAATATTCACAGTTAATTTAACTGTTTTTTAATAATAATTTATTTTAATGAAATTTCACTTAACTTTACCCTTTACTGTCTCGCTCAGTCTGTGTCTCACTTTCTCTCTTATCTGAACCACCTTTCTGTGCGATTTTCATCAACTGAAATAATGCTTGAGGCAATGTGTCTGTCCTAGGTGCTGCTCATTCCCTCGCTAAATATACTCAATGAAAGCACAGTTTTGTTTTATTTTTAAGGCATGCTCGAAGTGCCAGCCAGGGCCCAATTGCTGCTGCAGCGAATTATTCAAAATCATGAGCGTGCAAAAAAGATAAAAAACGAATCATTAGGTTAAAATAAAACGTTACATAATACTAAATTTATGTATGTGTGTGTGTAGCATAAAATGCTTAGAATAATTTTCCAGCCAACCATTAAATTAATTTTTGTATTTTTTCTGCTAAACGGAAAAAAATTAAAATAAAATGGAAAAAAATCATACAAAATGCACTTTGGTGAGCTGCTGCCCTGAGCTGTGTGTGTGTGTGCGTGTGAGTGCCGCAAATAAAATGGTGATGAACAAAATTCCCAAAAGCAGCTGGCAACCCTGAAGTACACACAAGCACGCAGACACGCACACACACACACACACACACACACACACACACACACACACTCAAACACATACACATGTAGCTACAGCTGTGAGTGTAGCGCAGGGTCATAAATGCCATTATCATTTGTAAACATTGCGACAGCGAGTGGCCCAAATTGTTAACTTGGCTACAAGGTCGCGCTCATAAACATATGTATAAAAACAAAAGCATCAAAAAATAAAACAAAACAAGACACACACTCACACAACATTATGCTAGACAACACACAAAGTTTTAATTAATTTTTGTCTCTGTGCGCCACAAGTGCACGTATGCGTGTATTTGTCTTTCCCCGTGTATGTGTGTGTTTGTTACACACATGCATATTTAGTGTAACAAAAAATGACTTGACCCAAATGTAATCAGATAATTTGTTGCGCAGTGTCAATATTTGCACAACCGCCGCGCCTATTTGAAGTTCATAACAATTTTGTAAGTTATTAAAGGCGCACACAAACACACACACACACACCTGTACATTTGTGTGTTTGTAATGTGTATGTATGTGTATGCACACCTCAGCCTGGCACAGATTTGGCCCCTGGGCGCTGCGCAAATATTGCATGCTTAGTCCGTATGAGACGCCGAGGCTACTCATAAATGTTACCAGCCAGTCAGTCTGTCAATCAGTTTGTCAGTCAATCAGTCACTCAATCAATCGGGCAGTCAGTCAGTGGAGTGGCACAAAAGAGCAACAACCAAAATTGATTTAATAGGCCCACATTATGCGCGCAACGAACAACACACAACCAAGTCCATGTTTATAGTTCTGTCTGTCGCATATGCCCTGTAAATACGAGCATGTGATATCTACATGAAAAGCATTTCAAATGCATTGTTTTAAGCTGTCAATAGATTTCAGCTTGTTTAAGTTCACATGGTGAACTGCACAGAGGGGTGCACACAATGCCACACTTTGTGGCCATAAATAATTGTTTAATCGTATTAATTGACTGTTTTGTACACAAAACAAAACACATAAGTCTGCTAATATTATAACTGATCTATTATTATGCACTCATCTTTGCTTCAAAACAGCTGACAATGTTTTCATTTAAACGTCTTTGATTCAAATACGATGCTAACCATGTAACCTGAACGTGTGATTTATTTTGTGCGGTTTATCAAAACATGGGGAGTGATTATGTTTACAAAGGCAGCCATAGTAGTACAAATACAAGTTCGTTTCTTCGAATACATGTTCGTTAATTAGACAAATGTCTTTGAATTGACGAAATGAATATATGTACATCTGCCATAATTATGTGCGTACTCCAATATTAAAATACATCTTCTCTTATTAGACAAAAGTCATTAAATTGACGAAATAAATATATATCAAGCATAAATATGTGCCTACTGAAAGATTAAGACAATATGCTTTAATTTGAAAACTTTATTTTTAATTTATAGATATTATTTTGTGCTCCCTTCGCTGTTTGCGCATTTCAGACATTTTGTTTTCTAGTCAGCTGTAGTTTGTTTTCCAGCTAAGCCCTTACAAAGCCCCATGTCGGCGAAATGCTTGCATAAATATTGGCTTCAAGTTTTAAAGAGAATCCCTCTTGGTCTTGAGTCAGGGTGTGCAATAATCCAACCGATTTCCTTGTGGTATGGCTTTTTGAGTTCGGTTTGTCGTCTTTATTATTGCTGCATTTAAGTTTCGAAACTGAGTTTTCTGTGCATATTTTATACAAACATTCATATTGTGCCAAATGTCAAAATTTGTCTCTGTCGTAACTTTCCCAAAAGTTAAACTATTTCTTTGCGATTTAGCTTTTCGTTTATGTTTTTGATTCTATTCAAGTTCTGCGTTAGAGTTATTATTTGTTTTTCTCCACATGCAGCTGATAATTTTAGCTTGATACGTACCAATTCCTTATATATCCAAGGGTCATAGTTCAAATTATGGCATAAGGTGACAATATCTTTACTAAATCTCAACCAATTTGTGTTTCAATCTCTTGCTTAATTCTGCACTTAAATCTTGAGGTCAACTTTTTTGTTTTGTTAAATATCATGTTTTATTTGTACGTAAATATATGTTAGAAATTTCACTTGACACAAGTTTGTGGAGACTTTACCGACTTTAAAGCTAATTGGTCTCTTTTCCATATTTATTTCAGCATTATATTTATGCTGCTATATAAATTGTTGTATGAATTATCCTATCAGTAAATTAACAAATATAGCAAATTTTGCTACTTCACATATAAGTCGAATTAAGCATTGCTTAAAGCTCTTGGATTCACATAAAACTTTTAACTTAAAAAGGGATAAGCAAATGTCTTTTTGAAATTTCTAAGCTTGAGCTAATCTTTGATCTGCTACCTGCATTGCCATAAATTTATTTCAATTAATGCACAAGTTTTTTGCATGAAATGTAATGAAAACAATAGCAAAAAAAAGGTAAATATATAAAAGTATGACCAGGCTGGGTTGGACCAGGCCCGCGCCTAAGGGCTGACAGTTTGTTTCCTGTCCACTAACACGTTTGTACACAATTGCTTTCAGCAGTTTTTTGTTGCTTTTGCTTGGCTGTAAAAAAGTAGGCAACATATTTCAATTGAAAAGAAAAACTACATTTCAGCTACAACAAAACATTACACTCCGATAGTGTCGAATGGGGTCTACAGCGTGGGCGTCGGCGTGGGCATTGCTGGCTGCTCGACAGGGGAGAGGGCTGGCGGGACTGAGGGCTGCTTCTACAGGCAGACACGAAATCATTTCGAACGTGGCTGACGACAAAAGTTAAACGAGGTCAAAGTGTATGAATGCGATTCGAGCATATTGACCGTTGACTGAATGGCTGGCAAACATGCAAGCCAACAATCGCACAGCAACAACAAAAAAAAAAAAAACAAAAAACCTGTAGAAAAAACCAAAAGCTGTGCCAGCTCAGTATCTGTAGCTGCATCTGTGTGTTCCTCCCCATCTCTCTCTCTCTCTCTCTCTCTCTCTCTCTCTCTCTCTTTGTGTGTGTGTGTGTGATTAGTATCTGAGCATTTGTTTGTGTTTGATTGGCTGTTTGCATTATTTATTGAGCAGCCGTTGCTGATTAAATTTCAAAAAAATTCAGTAAAATGTAAATGCATTTTGAGTGACTGGCAAATTGGCAGGCACATTATCAGCAGCAGCGCCCCCGCCCCCGACGTCATGCACCTAATGATGTCCGCTTGTGTTGCAAGTTTCCTCCACATTTTTTTTAATACATTTTTGTGCGTCTTTTGCAATCGCCGCAGCTTCCTTTTTACCGACTACTTCGCTGCGGTTGCCAGCCGCCAAAGCGCTCATGCAAAAGCAATTTCCTGAAGTTTTTGCCCAACTACACACACACACGCACACGTACACACACACGCGCGCGACCTCAGTCGCAAACGCATTGGCCAACTTGTGTGGCACGCTGCCTGCACGACAACCGACGGTATTCGAAAACCAATACGACTACGATTATGCGGCTCTGTGTATCTGTCTCTGTGTGTGCGTGTGTGTGTGTGTGTGTGTGTGTGTGTGTGTGTGATGTGCGCGCACACTCAAACTTACAAATTGCGCGCTGTAAGTAAGAAATCATTGAGGTTGGTCGCCACACTAATGGAAAACGACAAGCGGCATGTGGGCAAACGTTTTGCAGCCCCCCAACCTCAACCATGGCTCTACACTTTCTCTGCGGTTGCAATCTCCTTAGTTTTGCGTAGCCCCTTCGACCCGGCGTCGTGCCACGCACTTAGCCGGATGTTGCCCGAGCGATAGTTGTCGTTGTCGTTGTCAGCTCTGTGGGTTGTGGTGGGCGTTTGCTGAGGGGGCTGGGACGGGGTTGAGCGGGTTGCTCTGCTGCGTTGCAAGTTAACTTCACGTTTGGGCCCGGTCACCGCAAAAGTTTAGCTGCTAGTTGCGGCTCTGTTCCCGACCCGGTGCGTGCCGCTGCCAGCCAGCCAGCCAGCCTGCCTGCCATAGCCGCATTACAGGATCAATTTCTTTTGAGCACTGATTTGCCGTCAAGGGGTCTGTCCAGGCAGGGCCCAGGCCAGGGGTTGCCAAGCCAACAACCGCTGCGGTTTGGCTGCTACGAATGTTGTCATTAATGTCCTTCTTTAATTGTGCGTAGGTTCTTGCTGCTCCTTGTTGCTGCCGCTGCTGCAGTTGCAGTCAGGCTGTCTAGCTGCTTGGCTTAATTAAATTGGTAATGCAATAAGCACGTGACATTAGCTAAGTAAACGCATTTTAAAATTCTGACACACTTAACCAAGTATTTGGCTAGCTTAAGAGCGCCCTAGGAGCATTCGCTTTCTCTTAAATCTGCCGCGCTCTTGCGCTGCGCACTGGAAGTTGTATCTGTGTGTGGCACGCTTTCAGCTGTCAAATGAAAATGAAAACGTAAACGCATAACTGACCTGCAAGTCCTGGAAAGCCAGAGAGAATCGCTCGTTCTCTCTCGTTGTCTCTCGCTCTATCAATGCGCATGCCCGGCTGCTCAGCGACTTTCCAGCTGTCAGACAGACACGAAGACTAGACGCTGCCGCTGCCGCTTGGCTTGTGCCACAAATAACACGGGCGTGCACCGTCGTAGTCGATGTCCTGCCTCGTTAGCCGTGGCCAGAGTGTCCTTTTCAGTTCACTTCGCATACTCGTCGTTAGCTGTACACGTCACGGCAGCCACGCACGCAGCCTCAAAAGTCTAAGGAAACGCACAGCAATCAAATATCAAGCAACAGCAGCTGCAACAACAACAATTGTAGTAACAAACGGCAAGAGCATATATAAAAGCCTTTGCCGGCGGCAAATATACGAATGAGATTTTATATTTGGCAGGCGTACCAAAATTTTCAAAAGAGCCGCCAAAAGTTCAATACAAAAAAAAATAAAAGTTACAAAACGCGGCGCGCGTGTTTGTGTGTACGTGTGACGCATATCCTTGTTTATCCTTGAAAACGTGAAAAATTACTGTGCAAGTGAAAGGCAGCATCAAGGCGTTAAGTACGCCGTCTGTGTGTGTGTACGTCTCCCTGTGTGTCACACGCAGCAGCTTAAAATGTTGCACAGCAAATTGTCAGCGCAACTGTGAACGCAACTAAAAAGCTGGCAGCGGCAACAGAATATAACAACAGAAAAAAGAAGAAGAATAGTATAAAAAAAAGTGAAAGTGCCAGGCACCGGAAACGGAAGCAGCAGCAGCATCAGCAGCCGGGGAAACGAACGAACCAAAAGCGGTAACTGCCATGTGCTGCAGCTGCATTGTTGCTTTCTGTTAGCACTTTGACCCAAATCGCGAGTGTGTGTGTGCGTAAGTGTGAGTGTGTGTTAAATGCATGACCGATAAGCGCAGGTGTCAATGCCGTGTGACAAAGTTGCCGCGTGAACAGCAGATAAAAGTCGCGCTAAGCAGGCGAACATACAAAAAAAAAAAGAGCAGAAAAATAAAAGAAGTCGCAACACAAACGTGTCACAAGCATAAAAGTCTAAAGGATGCTAAGCAGATAAATACAAATCTGTCGCGTGTGTGTGCCTCCATCTGTGTATCCCCAAAGTTCTGGAGGCTTGAGTGCATTTCAACTGCCGCAGCAGCTGCCACATTTTCAGCCGCAGGAGTCAGCAGTCAGCAGTCAGCAGTTGGCAGTCAGTTAGCAACGGCTTCTAGCATGTGAGTTTTTGACACCTGTAAAATGTAAGACTTTTACATTTACCTTAGCTTTCACTGCTCTTCTTTGCTCTGCCCTACCTCGCCTCATCCCGTTGGTTGGACTTGCTCAGCTGCTCATCCACGGATTTGAAAGTTTGACATTTAGTTAGTTTATGGCCAGCGGCAAACGCAGTGTTATGCGGCCTGTCACTGCTGCAAACATACATATTTTCCCCTCCCGAATATCCATATCGTGCCATATTCCCCATTTGCACTTTTCACATTTTACGGCATTTGTACATTTACGGTCGCATAAATACGTGAGTTATATATGACAGAAAACGCGCTGGCGGAAAGCTTAGCATATCGTTTATTATCATTTATTTTTATGGCCAGATGAAAATTATATGCGCTACATCTGAAGCTGATTATATCGCACAAAAAATGTTGTCTCTTCTAAAGAGAATTAATTCGTATTTGTATCTAGATCAAGCTTCATCATATAAGTTGTTATGCAGAGTTTTATTCTCACTACACAGTTATTCCACCTCATTTGATATCTTTTATATATTTGTATCGCGAATATCCCTTTGGGTAAAAAATAGATTTTCTTCTAATTAATTGTCTGTATTTGTCGCTATGTAACTTGATTTATTATTTTGTGTTTAATTTATTGTTGCCTCTTAAGAGGTTGTTAAAGTTGTAAAAGTCTTGAATTAGAATTTAAATATTTAACAACTTACTGTCCTAAAGACAAAATAATTGTCAGATTTTATCTATAAACGTATATGTATATTACCAGAAGAAATAGGAAAGTACAAATTTGTTTGGTTCACATTATGAATTGTTATTGCCAACGGCTCTTTATTTTTTATTCGCAACATAGTTATTCGGTTTTAAATTGTTAAATGTTCCTATTTTTCTTGTGTTTGCGAACAAATTTAATAGCATAGCATACAAGATTCTTAAACTGGATTAGACTCATTTACCTTTCGTTTGACTCATACACTAAAAAATCAAACGGAAATTCTATATTGTTTATGTTCCCAGCCAGCGGCAATAGCAGAGTCAATAAAGTCAACTGCTTTAGCTCTTCTTCCACTTGATTTGAAGCTAGATTCAAATATTTTTTGCAAAAACAATCAAGGCTTAGTTTTTGTGTCTAAATACAGCAGGCAGTCAAAAGCTGAAAAAAAAGCGAGAAGGAATTTAATGAGCCTCTTTTTCCCTCAATTTTATGTCAAATTCATCGAGAATTAATTTAAAATTATTAATAACAGTTAAGGCTCAATTCTTATGCCTTAATACAGCAGACAGTCAAGAGCTGAAAGAAAGTGAGAACAATTTAAAAATTATGGCACACTTCGTATGCATTAATGTGCTGACTTCCGAATTGAAGGGCCTCTCTACTTGTTTCAGCCCCAGGAGTTTTTATCATTCGTCGTCTGGGTAACCAGCTCATTTAAATATAAGATTTGGTATATGTCGTGTGCCAATTTAATTGCAACTTAGCTGACAAAATGTGTCTCATTAATTTTGATGGGCTTAAACGGCTAAATACGTTTAATAATATAATTTATGCACGATTTGAGCTCATAAATGTACCCAACAAATTGGTTCGTTTGAACGAATTTCCGGTGCTTAAAATTCTGAAAATGAAGTAAGTTTCCCTTAAGTTAATCAAAATCGGCAACATTTGCTTTGCCGTCTGATTATTTTGTGTGGAACGTGCCATAAACAAGGATATGCCGATTATTGGCAACTTAACGCAAAAACAGTCGCACGACTAAGCGCTATTTAGGGGCGTGGCAGTGGCAGCGAAGGGGCGAGTGTGTGTCTGTGTGTGTGATGGCATGCCAGAAATATCTACGACGGCGGCTTCTTAATGAAATGACAAAATAAAAACACGGGAAAATTGCTAGGAAAAGCCAAATATTTGCGCAGGGCCTTTGGAGATACGACGCTAATGGTGAATGTCGCTGCAGAATACGTGAGACATCAGCGGTCGCCTTCTGTCTATGTGTGTGTATGTGAGAATATCGGCGAGCAAGTATGTGTGTACATGTGTGTCCTGAGAGTTGAAAATGACAAGGTGGCACTGCGGCTGAAAGCAATTAAATATATTTCCGCTTCGATGTCAAAATTAATGTGAATTTGATATTTAAAAGCGCGCACGCACACGCACAACATAGCGAGGGGCACACACAAAACGGGGCGAGGCTCGGCTGACTTGACAAGATGCCTGGCTATGTCAACGGCTGGCTCGACTGTCAGGCATTTAGCGAGCCCATTTTAACAGCAACCTTTCATTGAAAACGCACGACGTCGACGTCAATGACAACTCAGCTACCTGGAGAATATGCGTTTACATGCTAAATAAGGCGGCGCCTTTGGGCCAAGTTGTCAGTTGTTGTCGCTGTTGTTGTTGTTGTTTTCGGTTTGCTGCTTGTTGTTGTTCCTGTCTGGACGTTGACATAAATTTCAGTTGGCAGCGAGCGCTGTGTTCCACAAGGCGCACATGTAATTGCTAATGAGTGAAGGCGCCCGATGGGGCGTATGCGCAATATGCGTTATACATATATTACGCATATGCCACGTTGCGCATAAAGTCAAAATGTCAACTGGCTGGGCTGGTTGGCTGGCTAAACATCTGCTGGGTGAATATAATTTTTAAAGGCGGGCGTACTGTAAAAAGCAAACAGCAGCACTTTTTGCCACAGCCTCAGATTGAGAATGTTGTCTTGATTTGATTGGATGTGTGTGTGTGAGTCGGTGTGTGTGTGTGTACGTGTGTGTTTGTGTGTTGGTCCTGTCTAGTTATTTATGCAAAATATCTACAAGCATAATAACAATGGCAAATAAAAAGCAAACAATATTTAAATAAAGGATTATGAAGACAGGACAGCCAAGTTGGCCTGCACCGGCAAGTAAAAGAAAAACATGAAAATGGAAAACTTGACTCTGTCAGAGTGTATGTGTGTGGGTATGCGCGCGTACTTGGCTGACTGCCTGACAGGACTCTGGGATATAGCTATATCATAGCTGCTGCGTAGACTGGCTGGCAGCCTGCTGCGTTCCGTCTGCCTATACCGCCGCATATTTTATTGTCTCTATCTCTCTCTTCGCTCGCTCAGCTTTTGTTTTCCTTTTTTAAATTCATTTTTATTCATTAGACTGTGTCCCGCTTATTTCACGATGATGTCATGTTAACAAACGCTTCTCAACTTGCCTCGGCCCGATACACTGTTTGCACGTACAACCAGTTATTATACTAACCATATGTGTGCGGACTTTGAGATCTGTCTGCACAGACATGGAAATTTTCTCCATTTTGCCCCTGCGCCTGGCCCCCATTTCTATTTCATATGCATAGCTTTTGGCGTCTATTGTCGCTTTTTGTTGTGATTGCCAACTTTTAATTTCCATTTATTTTGGCCGGCTTTCGGCCCAGCTGTTGCCCCGGGCTTATCTTCTGCACTCCAATGAACCCCTGCACTTGCCCCCACAGTGGCACAGCTATTGTTGCGTTGTCTGCATTGCCTGCAGCCTGGCTTTGTTCTGGCCCGTCTTACCCGTCCTGCCTGTGGGCTGCTGGCCACATTGTGCAGGCTCTTAGGTTAGATATTTATCGCAACCTCTTGAATGCTTTTCCATTTGATTGGCTGCTGTGCGTTTCATTTCTCTATGCCCTTAGATTTCTACATCAAAAATCAATTGAAAATTTAGTTTTGTTAAGCCTTGAAAACAAAACTTAGAGAGTCTTAAAGATTATTATATAATAAGAAATTTAATAAAAAATATATTAAAATATTTACATACTCATCTGAACTGATTCGATTTCATAGCTAACATCTAGCATATTTTAGGGTATATGCTATTCGGTGCAGTTGCTCTTCTTATTCTGAATGCTATCGAGCGTAAAATTTGAAAGTTAGCATATAATATTGAAGTGAAGTTTGCTCAGCGTAAATCATTTGATTTTATATGCTGGGCATAAATGTAGCTGCCCGTTGGTAATAGGGGGCGTATACTTAATGCGCAACGCACTTGCCATTTAGCCGAGCAGAGTAAGAAAATGTTAAGCAAATTTACACAGTCTGCAAATGGAAGCGAGGGAACGAGAAAGAGCTTGTAGTAATTTTAATGACTGTGCCGTATTTTGGCCTGAAACGAAATAAATTTCAACTATGGGCCATAAACATTTATAGAATAATGAGCTAATTAAATTTACAAGGCGTTTTGAGTGCGCTTAACAAATTAAGCGTCTAATGACGACTTTGCATAATCAAAGACGAAGACGCGAAACTGACACACAAAAAGCAAGATACTTATGAGCGTAAACCTAGATACGCAGATATCAAAGGGAGATACATTTTGCTCCAAGGTTCAGCTAGCTTAATGTACATAAAAAGCTACAGTTGTAGCTGCAAATAAGGAAAAAGATAGTTTTTATGAATGTAGATTAATTTGCAGATGAAGCCTGCAATAAATAAAGATAATAAATAAGGATACAGATCCAGAGCTGCATACAGATAAAAATGTAGCTGATAATGATGTAGCAGATAAAGATACAAATGCAGATACAGATGCAGATGCATGTGTAGACACAGATGCGGATACAGATTCAGATACAGACTCTGTGAAAGATACAAATGCAGATACAGATCCAAATGCAGCTGCAGATTCAGACGCAGACCTTCCTATACCTACCTTTGACTCTCAAAAAGAGTGAAAACTCAATAGCTACTATTTTAGTTGTAGATATATATACATCCAGTACTAGCATTAAAATTTTGTAGATATGGCCTTGTTAACTGGCTAACAGTATTATAAAATCTGCCTACGCCCGCGCCCAATCCGGCTCATGTGCATCAGGTAATCAATGAAGCTCAGGTGAGGCACAGATCGCAAAGGTCGCCAGGGGTTGCGGCTTCTGTTAACGTTATGTAAGCCAGTTTGACAAACATATTTTGTTTTCGAACTGTGCTTAATTATTGACTATCAACTAATTATGTTAAGAGCCAAGTGCCAAGAGCTGAGCGACG